TAATATCCAATATCTAATCTTGGAGACCATACTTCTGTTTTATCTCTGCAATAAAAACAGGGAACTTATGATCGAATGGAAATTAGTCAAGGGTATCATTAAAGCAATACAAATGAAAGAAGTATGTTGTTAAGAAAATAACCATCTACAACATCCATGTATAACATTGAGTTTCAAAAGTACATTAAATATTAGATAATCCTTTTAATATCTTAATCAATCCAACCTTATTCATCTCCCTCAATCTAGTAAATATTTGTATTTCTGTGTTTTATAATAACTCGGGCATTTATTTATAATAACACTTAAGCTTTTGGTGCCAACCATTTCATTTAATCATTACAAAAACCTCTGAGATAGAAGTTACTAAATCCATTTTTAAGAAGCTAAGACTTAAAAAAGAAGCCAATGGTACACACGAGCAAGGGGTCAGATGGTGACTGCATTTCTAGCCTGTCTGTCCAGAGTGTATATTTTTGAAAGATTCTATACTGCCCAACACATGGAATGGGGGGAAAGTGCAGAAAGTGGAATTTCAGAATATGCATCCTATTTATTACTCATCTTTTAGGTAGAGCGGTGGTTTCAAGAAAATTCCTGAGCAGGGTTAGACCTCAACTACTTCCTTATATGTTTGTTGTATATATTTTTATTTTGAGGAATACAAGGAAAATTAAACTCATCAACTCCAACATTGTCCAATCAGGTTTTGTCAGCTAATGAATCTAAAATTAGCCACAGGATATCAATTGTTCACACCTCTCTATATAAAGCCCTATGTGAGAAGTTCCTTTTGGAATTTAGAACCCAAAAAATGTTGCTTGCAAGGTGCACATAAAGACATAACTATATTTTCTAAAATAAAACCTTAAAATGGTGAAAAGTTTTAGCTTTGCTAATGTTTTGAAACTAATGTGATATGCTGACTCCCTCTTACAAACTCATAATTGCTTTTGTCTCTTTTTTGTCTTGATTCAGTGTCTTTTTAAATGTATTTTACAAATTTCTTTTATATATTTTATATTTATGTGTAAATATATACAGTTTATATCTATATGGTATATATATATATGTGTATATATATATATATATATATATATATATATAGTTATGATGTTTGCTATCTCAGTTAATGTATGTTTAATATGTAATACCTGAAATCCTTTGTGAAATGATGTGGGACTTTCCTTTTCTTAAATTATATAAAAAACAGAATTCCAGAGGCGCCTGGGTGGCTCAGTGGGTTAAGCCTCTGCCTTCAGCTCAGGTCATGATCTCAGGGTCCTGGGATCTAGCCCCACATCGGGCTCTCTGCACAGGGGTTAGCCTGCTTCCCCCTCTCTTTCTCTGCCTGCCTCTCTGCCTCTTGTGATCTCTGTCTGTCAAATAAATAAATAAAATCTTAAAAAAAAAAAAAACAGAATTCCAAAGACACTCACATAAATTGTGTTTAACAATATTGCCAAACAAAAATTAAGCCAACTAATTAATTACACTAGGGGAATCATGAAAAGTCTATCAGATTGGTTGCTTTTAAGTATAAAACTTAAGAAATACATCTTTTTTTTTTTTTTAAATCAAATTGTTTGGTCTCAGACTGTCACAATGCCCTTAGACCTCTGTCTTGTTAAGACACACACACACACACACACACACACACACACAAACAGGGCATCTGGGTGGCTCGGTTAAGCGACTGCCTTTGGCTCAGGTCATGATCCTGGAGTCCCGGAATCGAGTCCCACACTGGGCTCTCTGTTCGCCAGGGAATCTGCTTCTCCTGCTGACCTCTCTCATCTCATGTACTCTCTCTCTCTCTCTCATTCTCTCTTTCTCTCAAATAAATAAATAAAATCTTAAAAAAAAAAAAAAGACACACACACACACACACACACGAGCACTCACAAAAATCACATTCCTATCTGTTGACATGTCTTTTGAATTAAGTGGGGCACAAATCAGTGAAAGCAGTTACCGGGTGCAGTACAACCAAAGCAGCTGGCTGATTGATTGGATTTTTCCATCTGTAATTAACTATTGTATAAGTATAACTTCAAAATTAAAGTGCTAAAAGAATCTGAAGCAGATGCAAACTGTATGCTCTTCTTTGGAAAGCAATTTTAATTTCATGCTTTTTTGCTATATTGTTTTGGAAGTCCTTTGAAGAAAGCACACATTATAAAAAATGTTCATTTCAATCTGTAGCTTCAGCTATGTGGGGGAGTTCATGTAACAAAATTTATACAAGCATGCAAGTCATCACTATATTCTAATTTCTTAGGAAATTGCTTCCTGGCATAATTTTCCTGCCCTTCCATGTCCTTGAATGTATAGTATAAAATAACTAAAAAATTAAATCTCAATTTTAAATCCTGCCTTTTGATCTACAAATAGTTTAGACTTCGGAACTGAATGTTCATCTTCTAAATTGTTCTAAATTAAAGCATTTTATTGATGTTAATCTAAGAAACTACTGTTTCTTCCTAGGCACCTGAATTATCACGCATGGTCACTCTCTTCAAAATGTAATGAGGACTTTGTTTTTCTTACAATCTTTGAAGTGATGAGCAAAGGCTTTATTTTCCTGAAGCATCTATCTCTGGATAAGTATTTCCTAAGAAGTTTCCTAAGAAGAATCAGAAGTAAAATCTCAAGTAGTAACGGTACCAAAAGTACCAGCCTAAGGATACTTTTCCCCTCAAAGCCTTCCTGCAGGGGAGAGGAGCTTACTGACCTCCTAGAGAGAAATATCCTCCTGGCCTAAGGCACTTCTTTGATCTAAACACCACAGTACTAAAGGTAAATTCTCTATGTGCCTCTTGGGTTTGTTGTTGATATAGAGGACCAACTAACTTTGCTAAAATTGAAGTTTATTTTCTTAAAAGGAAAAAAAAAAATCAACCATTCAGAGCAATGCGAAGCTGCATTCCTGGAGTAAATTCTAAAGGTGTGGTTGACATCTTGGGTTTGGTGACTGGAACACTTGAGCCAGATTCTGCCCAAGGAGCTTTGTCAATGTAGTTCCTTGACAAACCTCTTTCCTCTTCTATGACTTTCACACTCTTATGGTCATTGTGAGGATGAAATTCAAGTAAGCACAAAGATCCCTTGGCACAAAGTATGATATCTAGTAAATATTCAAAGAATAATTAACTGAAAGTTAAATTTTGGGGCAGCTCACTTTTATAAACAAAATCCTATTATTGTTCACAAATAATTAAGCAATGAAGCAAACCCTTTCATATACCTAGTTTCTTATATTTTCTCAGCTTCTATCCTCATGACAAGGACTAATTTAAGTACTTATGTTGTTATGCCATTATTTTGATATATTTATTATCATCTTTTGTCTTTTCCAAATTGTAAAATAAAAAGAAAAACAGCTGATACAGTGCACATGGTATCAGACCATAACTGTTGAGAGAACAGGTTTCTGGTAATTCAGCTCAAGAGTTGAACCCAACCCACCCCAGAACAATAACATCAAGAAAAATGGTTAGAGAATGGGATTCACACCTCATAAAATTGTAGGCTACCTTGGATAACTTTCTCAGAGAACAAACAGTACTTTGGTGATCTTTTTTTTTTTTTTTTTTTTTTTTTTTTTTTTTTTTTTTAATAATTTTATTTTTTATAAACATATATATATATATATATTTTTTTTCCCCCAGGGGTACAGGTCTGTGAATCTCCACGTTTACAAACTTCACAGCACTCACCATAGCACATACCCTACCCAATGTCCATACCCCCCCCAACCCCCCTCTGCCCAGCAACCCTCAGTTTGTTTTGTGAGATTAAGAGTCACTTATGGTTTGTCTCCCTCCCAATCCCAACTTGTTTCATTTACTCTTCTCCTACCACATTAACCCCCCATGTTGCATCTCCTCTCCCTCATATCAGGGAGATCATATGATAGTTGTCTTTCTCCGATTGACTTATTTCGCTAAGCATGATACCCTCTAGTTCCATCCATGTTGTCGCAAATGGCAAGATTTCATTTCTTTTGATGGCTGCGTAGTATTCCATTGTATATATATACCACATCTTCTTTATCCATTCGTCTGTTGATGGACATCTAGGTTCTTTCCATAGTTTGGCTATTGTAGACATTGCTGCTATAAACATTCGGGTGCACGTGCCCCTTCGGATCACTACGTTTGTATCTTTAGGGTAAATACCCAGCAGTGCAATTGCTGGGTCATAGGGTAGTTCTATTTTCAACATTTTGAGGAACCTCCATGCTGTTTTCCAGAGTGGTTGCACCAGCTTGCATTCCCACCAACAGTGTAGGAGGGTTCCCCTTTCTCCGCATCCTCGCCAGCATCTGTCATTTCCGGACTTGTTAATTTTAGCCATTCTGACTGGTGTGAGGTGGTATCTCATTGTGGTTTTGATTTGTATTTCCCTGATGCCGAGTGATAGGGAGCACTTTTTCATGTGTCTGTTGGCCATCTGGATGTCTTCTTTGCAGAAATGTCTGTTCATGTCTTCTGCCCATTTCTTGATGGGATTATTTGTTCTTTGGGTGTTGAGTTTGCTAAGTTCTTTATAGATTCTGGACACTAGCCCTTTATCTGATATGTCGTTTGCAAATATCTTCTCCCATTCTGTCAGTTGTCTTTTGGTTTTGTTAACTGTTTCCTTTGCTGTGCAAAAGCTTTTGATCTTGATAAAATCCCAATAGTTCATTTTTGCCCTTGCTTCCCTTGCCTTTGGCGATGTTCCTAGGAAGATGTTGCTGCGGCTGAGGTCGAAGAGGTTGCTGCCTGTGTTCTCCTCAAGGATGTTGATGGATTCCTTTCTCACATTGAGGTCCTTCATCCATTTTGAGTCTATTTTCGTGTGTGGTGTAAGGAAATGATCCAATTTCATTTTTCTGCATGTGGCTGTCCAATTTTCCCAACACCATTTATTGAAGAGGCTGTCTTTTTTCCATTGGACATTCTTTCCTGCTTTGTCGAAGATTAGTTGACCATAGACTTGAGGGTCTATTTCTGGGCTCTCTATTCTGTTCCATTGATCTATGTGTCTGTTTTTGTGCCAGTACCATGCTGTCTTGATGATGACAGCTTTGTAATAGAGCTTGAAGTCCGGAATTGTGATGCCACCAACTCTGGCTTTCTTTTTCAATATTCCTTTGGCTATTCGCGGTCTTTTCTGGTTCCATATAAATTTTAGGATAATTTGTTCCATTTCTTTGAAAAAAATGGATGGTACTTTGATAGGAATTGCATTAAATGTGTAGATTGCTTTAGGTAGCATAGACATTTTCACAATATTTATTCTTCCAATCCAGGAGCATGGAACATTTTTCCATTTCTTTGTGTCTTCCTCAATTTCTTTCATGAGTACTTTATAGTTTTCTGTGTATAGATTCTTAGTCTCTTTGGTTAGGTTTATTCCTAGGTATCTTATAGTTTTGGGTGCAATTGTAAATGGGATGGACTCCTTAATTTCTCTTTCTTCTGTCTTATTGTTGGTGTAGAGAAATGCGACTGATTTCTGTGTATTGATTTTATATCCTGACACATTACTGAATTCCTGTACAAGTTCTAGCAGTTTTGGAGTGGAGTCTTTTGGGTTTTCCACATATAGTATCATATCATCTGCGAAGAGTGATAGTTTGACTTCTTCTTTGCCGATTTGGATGCCTTTAATTTCTTTTTGTTGTCTGATTGCTGAGGCTAGGACTTCTAGGACTATGTTGAATAGCAGTGGTGATAACGGACATCCCTGCCGTGTTCCTGACCTTAGCGGAAAAGCTTTCAGTTTTTCTCCATTGAGAATGATATTTGCGATGGGTTTTTCATAGATGGCTTTGATAATATTGAGGTATGTGCCCTCTATCCCTACACTTTGAAGAGTTTTGATCAGGAAGGGATGCTGTACTTTGTCAAATGCTTTTTCAGCATCTATGGAGAGTATCATATGGTTCCTGTTTTTTCTTTTATTAATGTGTTGTATCACATTGATTGATTTGCGGATGTTGAACCAACCTTGCAGCCCTGGAATAAATCCCACTTGGTCGTGGTGAATAATCCTTTTAATGTACTGTTGAATCCTATTGGCTAGTATTTTGGTGAGAATTTTTGCATCTGTGTTCATCAAGGATATTGGTCTGTAGTTCTCTTTTTTGATGGGATCCTTGTCTGGTTTGGGGATCAAGGTGAGGCTGGCCTCATAAAATGAGTTTGGAAGTTTTCCTTCCATTTCTATTTTTTGGAACAGTCTCAGGAGAATAGGAATTAGTTCTTCTTTAAATGTTTGGTAGAATTCCCCCGGGAAGCCGTCTGGCCCTGGGCTTTTGTTTGTTTGGAGATTTTTGATGACTGTTTCAATCTCCTTACTGGTTATGGGTCTGTTCAGGCTTTCTATTTATTCCAGGTTCAGTTGTGGTAGTTTATATGTCTCTAGGAATGCATCCATTTCTTCCAGATTGTCAAATTTGTTGGCATAGAGTTGCTCATAATATGTTCTTATAATTGTCTGTATTTCTTTGGTGTTCGTTGTGATCTCTCCTCTTTCATTCATGATTTTATTTATTTGGGTCCTTTCTCTTCTCTTTTTGATAAGTCTGGCCAGGGGCTTATCAATCTTATTAATTCTTTCAAAGAACCAGCTCCTAGTTTCGTTGATTTGTTCTATTGTTTTTTTGGTTTCTATTTCATTGATTTCTGCTCTGATCTTTATGATTTCTCTTCTCCTGCTGGGTTTAGGCTTTCTTTCTTGTTCTTTCT